TAGGCTTGCCTGTACTGTGATCTCTATATACATATATACCTGCTTGCTTGCTTTGCTAGATTGAGATCACTGTGATGTTTGTGCTGCATATATGCCTCTGCATGTGAACTGGCCTTGTGGCCCTTTACTTGTGCTCAGAGTGTGTGGTGACGTTGTGATCCACCCTGAGCTTGCTTTGTCTCTCTTGACTGGTCTTGTGACCCCTTGCTCTCCCCCACTTAGCCTATGGGGGTGTGTCAAACATTATATATGTTGTTGTTGTGTAGGCTACAGTGGGTTAGCCTTTAGGGGGTACAGAACTTTAGGGTTTCATACTTGTACTCCCAACTTTCCTAGTTCAACCACTTCTTGTTTCTGACACTTTTCAGCTTCATTCCTGATTGTCGTTCAGCCCGCTTTACCATGCGATGAAACACTCGAAGGCCAGGGAGCGACAGTCGGTGTTGACGGCCCAGACGTAGCGGGTGCTTGCGTCGATGAAATTAAGCGTGTAGAATTCGCCGTCGAGCCCTTCTTGGCTGAGGTTCATGAAGTCGTTGTAGACATTGTCAAGCGGTTTGTACCGTTCGTAAACCCTAAACCCTAAACTCAGGTCAGGAAAGGGTTTGTGGGCGAGCGACGCAGCTCGGCATACGGTGCACGGTAGGTCTTCAGATTCCGCTGTGAGGGATCCGCCGCGTGGAAGAAGCAGTGCTCCGTCGTCGAAGACGCCAGCCTTGAGAGAGTTCTTGAACGTGGCGTGTGATGGGTGGCCGAGCCGCTGATGCCAAGTCTTTGGTTTCGCACGGTAGCCGACGGTCTTTTGATAGTATTTGTTCCTCTCTTCTGCATCATACTGCTCCCTTCCAGGTCCTGTGTCATTGGCGGCGTCGGTTTCAGCTGCGAAGGCCCGAATGGAATCCCGTTCCAGAAGCGCGCGAGGAATTCTGATGATGTCGTCGGTGTCGTCGGCATGAACTTGATCGTCGGTGGCAAGCAGATACTGGGATGGCAGCGCCTCGGGTGAGTCGGCGACGGGAAGTCCTTTCATGGGGATTCGGAAGTAGCTGTATTCGGTGCCGATGACCTCAATCTGTTGTGGTCCTTGTTCTGGCGGCGGCGGTTCCTCGGTAGGTTCCGGTAATTCCGCTGCTCCCCTCATAAGTTACCTCTTCCTCTGACTCTTCTTGCATTGGCTCTGGTGTGTCAGGAGCGTATTGGTTTGGCAGGGAAGGCCCGCCCCAGTTGGTGCCACGTGTTGCCCAGTACGGGTCGACTTCCGCGACATCTGCAGGAGGGAGTCCCGGAGCTTTGGGATTGGCGGGAGCTGGTTGTCCCCATCCACCTTCGGTTGAGGTCCCCCTGCCGCCTCCGACTCCCCAATCGCCTCCAGTGCCGAAACAGGGCCCCATCCGCCTGCGGCTGCTTCTTCCGGTGTTAGAACTTCTCCCCATGGCCCGACGGCGGGACCGGGGCTGCCCCAGCCAGTTGCTGGAGTGTCTGTGGCGCTTTCTTTGGCGACTGATTCTGCTCTTACTGACTTGCCACTGTCTTCTTCTTCTTCCATTGATGCAGGTCCGGTTTCTCCTGGATTGGAGGTCGATGCTGTTGGGACGCTGCGTAGTCGCATAAGACCATCGGAAGCGGGTCGCTCAAGATCCATCTCCTCAGAGTGTGACCAAGCCAGCGGCTCTGTGGGAGTATTATTCAGAAGGAGAGTCCGATCTGAGTCGCCAGTGGTGCCTTGAGCCGAGAAGTTTAACACGAAGACCCCGTCGTCATCGTCAGCTTTACCGATGTAAGTGTTTTTGTAGTTAAGTTCAAAGGTCTTGTCTTTGCAGTTGCTGCGAATGTCAACTCCGCACCGCATGAGCTGCGCCGAAGAAAGTAGGTTGTACTGAAGATCCGGAGCAACCAGCACGTCGCCGATGTGAATTGTTAAGTGAGTGTCTTCAGCCTCAAGGCAGACATCCCCAATGTCGTAGGCTTTGCGACGTCCGTTGTTGGCGACGGTAATTTCACACGGTCGCCTCATGCGCTTCAAATTTTTAATGAATGTCGGTGATCCCACCATGTGTTGCCCACAGCAGCTATCAAGATACCAGGTATTGATGTCTTCGCGGTTGCGTCGTGCAATCCCGGCAATCTTTGGAGTTATGACGCGGCCAAAATTTTCGAGTGTACGGTGAGAGGTCGATGTATCATCTCGCGGAAATGCTGGAAGGAGACTTTGGCGCAGGTGGAGGCAACTCAAAATCAGAGATGTTGGACGGTCGATCGATCCAATTGTGAACGGTGGGATCATTATCTTGACTAGGTGCGACGGGGTTGATGGGTGCGATAGGCGGGAACACGGTGCCATCGAAGTATCAGATTCGTCTGCAACGGCGCACCATGCAGCTCATTAGTGATCCCTTGCCCTTGCCCTTGACCATGATGCGTGCAGGAGTTTAGGAGCTGCTCGCGACGGAAGGTGGTGACACGGTCGACGTTGTACCAGAAGGGGCCGAGGATGCTGAGGTCTGCTGATTGGAGGAGTTGTTACGCCTCTCGTCAGCTGCCTTGCGCTTGTAGCATCGACCAATAGTGTGCCCGGGTTTCTTGCAGTATTTGCAAAAGGTTCCTTTCTTGCCGTGTTGCTCCCCTTCAATTGCTCCAGTGTAGAAGACTAACTTTTCCCGCTTGCTGTTTTTCTCATTGTACAGATCGATCTCCTTTTGCTTGGAGAGAAGCGAGGCGCATAAGGCTGACTCGAAGATGGTTGCTCGAGCACGAAGCAGTGATTAGCATTGGCGCTAGTCGGGTCCGAGGTCGAAGAGAACCATCGAGACGAACATGTCATCAGGGATGGTTCCGCCACACTTCTTGATGTGGTCGCGCAGATTGCGGCACCGGTTGATATATGGTCCCGCTTTCTCCCCTTGTTGCATTTTGGCCGAAGTCAGTTGGCTGAGCAGGCGACTCATTGTCACTAGATCTGTTGCCATGTATGAGTTGCGTAGGTGCTCCCAAGATGTGTGCGCAGGAGCCCACTCTGACTTGTAAGAGCGAATGCCAAGCTGCTCGGAAGGGGAGAGGTTTCGGAGAAGGGTGGTATACGTGTGAAGTGATTCGTGGTAATACTGATGCTTCTCCTAGATGGTCCCTTCCAATGGGAAAGGGAAGATTCCATCGTAGTACATCCAGATCTGAGCGGTTGTTGCGAGGAGCTAAGTTTCGAAGCTCCACGTGTAAAAATCCTTGAACTCAGGGAACTGAGGTCTTCAGCTTTGAAGTTAGAACGAATTTCGTTTGCATGGTGGCGATCGTTTCTGAATGTGCATGTTGTGGACTGTGTTGTGCAGGAGCTGAAGCTTGACGGTTGTCAGAGGTGAAGGACCTCTCGGAGTTGACGCGACGGTCTTCTCCAGGGAGAGGGAGTCCAGCAACTCCTCTTGCGTAGCTCGAGCCATCGATGCTCATAGCTTGATGGCTCTCAAGAGCGTTGATGCGAGCGACTATATACCTGCATGCTTGCACTTGCTAGGTTGTGATCACTGTACTGCTTGCTCTCTATTATATAACTCTGCATGTGAACTTGCCTTGTGGCCATTTGCTTTGCTTTTCTTGACTGGTCTTGTGACCTCTTGTTCTCCCCCACTTTGCCTATGGGGGTGTGTCAAACTTATATGTTGCATGTTGTGTAGGCTATAGTGGGGTAGCCCATATGGGGTACAACCCAATTAGGGTTTGCTACTTGTACTCCTGCATGCTGCTAGTTCACTCATTCTCGTTCATTCTGCTGACATCCATGACATGCGTCTTCGACACTTCCGCCTTTTCGTCGACAGTCGAGCCTGATGAGCCGGCAACAGCAATGTTGACTGATGACGATGTGTTGTCCATTGTACCCGTGCTATTCTCTCCAACAGGCTTTAGCGACTAATCAGCAACATCGGGAGCTGCACTGTTAACGTCATTGACAGCAGGCTGATCAGCAACCGACTTAGAGCGGGGACCCTTCGGATGGGACATCATGCGATGATGACTTAAAGGCAGTATCAAGAGGTGCTGTGCACTGTTGAAAAGGTGAACTGCCGATGTTTTGAGCACATCAATAAGTAGTAGCTTCGGTATTCCTGGGTCTAGCCATTCTTCGAGTTGTCGAAGGAATCTCGAGGCACGGGCCTTGGAAGTTGTCTTCTTAATAATTGTGATAGCCATATGATAGTCTTTGATAGCATAGCGATAAGAATAATGATGTGTAGACAGGAGTTCCCGAAGCCTTGGGAGTGACAGGATAACATATGGGGTTGTCGCCTGATAACACGGTTTGTCAGTGTCAGGCCAAATGACAAAGCTACCGAACAATAGGATATCAGCGATGTTCGGATAATGAACAGATGTTAAGTCGAAACACTCAAGCGAGGACGATGGGTAACTCGAGGACTGTAGAAACCATGGCGTAGTCATGGCAATACGAGCAGTTGTAATGCTTGAAATGCTTTTGATTATAATCGAATATGATGGATAATGGCGTATTAGTCTGATTATGACCGTATGTGCTAATTAAACGGATGCGCTTATATCATGGGGCTCATGGTAATTCCGACGTGGTAAAGTTACTGGCTCTACAATTTTCGCGAGAGTGCTACAGTGAAAATGGGATCCCTTTCCTTCAATGGCGACAGGCTGAATGGGGGGTACGAATGTGCTGGCGATGACAGCGAATTGCGACCACGCGCGCTTTATGTCGGCTTCGGCTCAAGTGGAGATAACCTATTGACATGCCAAACAGCCCAATAGGGGCACGGTCTGTCAAAAAGCGAAAGCAAAGTTGTAACCAACAAACTCGCCACCAGCCCACTGGACACCCCACACAGGGCTCCTGGCGAGACATGGCACGCGCTAGCATCACATATTGGGCTTTCGCTGGCTATCGCAGCCAACGGAAACCCTCAGTTGATGATTCATGAGCAGGCAAGGGGCCTGCACCTGTGACATCAAGGTGGGTGGCCGAGCCTCAGAGACACGTGCCAAACATGGCGCTCATCCGCATTCCCCAAGCAGACAGGTTTGGGCAAAGTTGTGGTGTGGAAATTTGGGAGACATTGAACTCATCTGTGCGATTCGTGCACATAAACTGCGCGAATCTCTCACATTGCTTATCCCTCCAACAGATTTCAACACGCATCCAACCAACATTCCCAACTCTCCCAACACACTCCAGCACCCAACGCTCCCAACAAACTTTTCTTCAAAATTGATCTCTGGGCGACCCACTAGGTTTCACTCAGCAACCGACGATGGCACCTACAATCGATCAGTCTCCTTTCGAGCACATGTTCGACCTCGAAGCCGTCCCAACTTCTCCCGATTCCGGCAACATGAACGCTGCAGACGATTCTTATCTCGACCTCCCAGCCGCGGCCTTCCCCTGGTCCACCTGCGACGAGGCTGGTAAACCCGGCGGAAAAAGCGGCGGAAAGAGCGGCGAGGTGAACGCGAGCAATGTGGCCCAGCGCTTGGAGCGGAAGCAACTTCTCGCGGCGCTTATGGAGGCTCTCGCGGACTCTGCGGACGACACCGCCGCCGCAGAGGGGCCTTCCACTACGGAATCCCTTGTCGGCGCTTCCCTCTCATCCGCGGCGCTCACAGTAGGATCGTGGAAGCGCAAGGCGTATGAGATCGAGGTGGTGCCCTCCGCGGCTGCGCCTCTCGTGGGCGGAAGCGAGGCGGAGGTGACTCTTAGAATCTAGGCATCAATGAAGTTTACTATCGAGAGAATTGGTACAAGGAGAAAACCCTAAGGGGTTATACCCCACAGTATCTACCCCACTACAGCCTACCCACAAATATAACATATGCATATCTTTGACACACCCCCATAGGCAAAGTGGGGGAGAGCAAGAGGTCACAAGACCAGTCAAGGAAAACAAAGCAAGCTCAGGGTGGATCACAACGTCACCACACACACTGAGCACAAGCAAAAGACCACAAGAAGGGGGTGCCGAGGAAAGTGGAGGCGACAGCGGAAAAGCTTGATGTCATGGACAGCAGCTGTCTCGAGTTACTCCTTTCGGGGCTGGCAGTCGGTCTTCGAGCTTTCGCACAGGAGGAGGGCAAGCGAGTCAAGGCCACAGTGATACACCTTGTCAATATTGTCGCGGAGCTTCGGCAAGAGGCGATGCGGATCCCGGCCTGCAAAATAACAAGCGCGCGGTTAGTAGTGAAGGAGTCGCAGCTCCAAGGATACCGGGCCTCACGGAAGGACAAGCTGCACGTGATGTCGGGCATGCGTGCGGAACTCAGAGGAGAAGTGGCGTTACAACACTTGACAGCAATGGTGCAGGCGAGGAAGGCAAGCACTCAAATCTCCGAGCTGCTGACGGCGAGCGGGGTTGTCTTAGACTCCCAAGGCATCCTCCGCGCTGCGTCTGAGTTCTTCGCGGACATTTTTGAGAAGAATAGGTGTCAGTTGGAGGAGAACTAACAGCTCGCAAAGGGAAAAATATTGTCGCTCTAGGAGGCAACAGAGTAAGAGGATGATTGGACATAGAGGAGGTTTAAAAGGCTTTTAGCGCAATGGAGGCGAACAATTTCTGGGGAGAGACGGTTTGTTGAAGGAGTTGTTCAAGGCCCGCTGCGATCTTCTGGGAAAGGGGTTCATGGCCTAGCCATGGACTTTGCATCATCAGCAGTTCTCTCGATGGAGGTGAAGGAGGCGGTTACGATCCTACTCCATAAGAAAGGCGACAAGGATCAGCTCAACAACTACAAGCCTATTACGTTACTGAACTTTACTTGCAAGGTGCTGGCCAGGGTTGTTGCCGACCGAATGAAAAAGTTCCTAGGCAGGGTAATCTCACCGGTGCAATATGGCATTCTACCAGGGAGAAGGTTGACGGACGCAGTGAGACTCGTCGCCGGCATCATTGATGCAGCTCGCAACGACAATGAGGATTGGTTTGTCCTCCTCGTAGACTTTGCAAAGATAAAACGAACAACGGGAGCTAGGCTACGGGCTAGGCACGGGGTGTTGGGGTGATCTCTACGTTCCTTAGTCGTTTGCTTGTGTTCACTCTACGTGCACATTCACGGGGAGATTTTGCAAGAGTTTCACTAGCAAAAGTTGACAACAATGGTTCAGAATGATAGCAACAACTTTGGCAAGAGAGACTACATCAGAGCTAGCAAACATGCAGGTCGACCTCCAGCGTAGCACGGTCGACCGCGATCCAGCGTTGTAAAGTTCGCATCACTCCAGCGCTGCAGAGAAGCGGCTTGCCAACGTTGCAGGTCCACGGCGTGCCAACGCTGTAGCAAGGCGGCTGCACAGCATTGCACCCGCACGACAGCAGCGCACCCGCTTCGCAGATGCTTGCAGCTGGTTGGCGTCCTGCGCCCTGTCATGTGCACAGCGTGTTAGAATGTGGAAACAGGAATGTCAAGAATAGCAAGGAAGGGGAGTACAAGAAGGAAACCTAAAAGGGTTGTACCCCCTATAGCTAGCATCACTATAGCCTATCAGAATAACATACACATACACATATGTTTGACACACCCCCATAGGCTAAGTGAGGGATAGCAAGACCAACAAAGGGTCACAAGTCCAGTCAAGAGAAGAAGCAAAGCAAAGCAAAGCTCGGGGTGGATCTCAAGATCACCACACATTCTGAGCACAAGCAAGCGGCCACAAGGCCAGTTCACATGTAGTTGAAAGCAACACAAGTAGCACAATGATTACAACATAGTTACGTGAAGCATGCAGGTTTATATATCAAAGTACAAAGCAAGACCAAGAGACAAGCAGGTCAGGCAGAGTGGGCACATGCCCAAGAGCAGTGCAGAAACGCTGATGATCACTAGACCCAAGGGCCTTGGTGAAGACATCAGCAGTGTTGGCCTGTGTGGCCACGTAAGCAAGACGAAGCCGACCACGCTGCTGCAGCTCTCGCGTGAGGAAGTAACGGAGAGCAATGTGCTTCGTTCTGTGCTCCAGTCTTTGGTCCTGACACAAGGCAATCATGACCTTGTCGTCAACGTACAGAACTGGAGGAGAACGAGGCCGCTCACCCAAGTCGGCCAGCATGTAGGTCAGCCAGCGGAGCTCCTATGCAGCCATAGCTCCAGCGTAGATCTCAGCCTCAAAGCTGGAACTAAGTACAGAAGAAGAGCGAGTGGACCTCAACGAGACAGAACCAGTGCCAAGGCTGAAACTGTACCCCTGTGTCGATCGGTGAGTCGTCTGGTCGTCAGCCCAAGAAGCGTCTGAGTTACCGGTGAGAACAACTTAACCCCGTCCTCCAAGTACGAGCCCCACACCCGATGTACTGCGCAAGTAACGCAGTACCCTCTTCGCAGCATCAAAGTGCACCTTTCGGTGTCTACTGGGAGCCACGTGGCGAACCAAGAGGTTGAGAGTGTATGCGAGGTCAGGTCGTGTGCACGTCATCAGGTACATGAGGCAACCCACAAGCTCTAAGTACGGACCACTCAGCTTTACGGACTTGTCCGAAGGTGGAGTTGAGAGCGTGTGGCGGTAGACCGAGGAGTGGGCTGTGGCGAGGACCACGAGAAGTCGAAGCGTTGAAGGACCTGCTGCACCATGTGTGACTGAGTGAGGATGATGGTGCGGCGTGCTCTGTCCCGTGTGATCTGCAAGCCAAGATAGCTCCGCGGCTCACCCAGGTCAGTGCAGGTGTGTCTCTCCTGTAGCTCCACCTTCATTAAGTCCAAAGTCTTAGTGTCAGCGGTAGCAAAAACCAAGTCGTGAACGTACACGAGAACGTAGAACGGCGGCAGAGAAGTGTCTGTGCACAGAAACAACGAACTGTCAGCAGTCGTGGGAGCGAAGCCAAGAGCCGCAAGTCAGGTCCTCACTGTGTCGTGCCACTCACGGGGCGCCTGTTGTAGGCCGTAGACTGGTCGCCGTAGACTCCACTGGGTGCCCTCAGGAAAAGACCCAGCGAAGCCACGTGAGCGGCACAACCAGATAGGCTCGTGAAGGCTGCCCTGCAAGAAGGCTGTCAAGAAGTTGAGGGAGTGCAGCTCGTAGTCGCGCTGTGCTGCAACGTGCAGTAGCACCCGAAGAGTGGTCATCTTCGAAGTGGGGGAGAAGGCCTGGAAGAAGTCGACCCCCTCATGTTGAAGCCTCTTGCAACGTAACGCGCCTTGAAGGCATGCAGAGAACCTGGCGGCCGCTTCACCCTAAAATTCCACATGCCATCGACGATGTTTGCCCCAGGTGGGGTGCAGCGGCCGCCAGGCACTCCAGCTCAAACGGCCTGTCCTCAAGAACGTCACAGCCAAGGGCAAGCTCACCCCCGACGGACGGAGGACAGGAAGAGTAAAAAACAAGACTCGCAGCGTAGTCAAGGCGGCACAAAGCAGCAAAGTTAACAAGCTCGGCAACTAAGGCAGACACAGCAGCAGACTCAACGGAAGGGTCAGTAACAATCGTGGCAAGGAGACGAGTGACAATCGAGCTGGCAGTACGGACAAGGTCTGACTCAGGGTCACGAACGTGAGGAAGAGAAGACACAGGAGGAGACGGCAGGACAACACGCTGTGGAACAGAGGAAGGACGAAGTGCCATGATGTGTGTGCCAGGGACAGGTGGAGGACGAGGACGCACAGCACGGTGAGAACGGACACGTGTGATAGGATGCGACGTAGGCTCTCTACACTCAGTGAAGGACTCTGTCACCATGGTGTGAGGAGCAGGAGCAGGCAGTGGGGAGCCAGGCAGTAGCTGTGGCTGAGACTGGACAGTCGGTGGGAACAGCAACGGAGGAGCAGTACCAGCAACCGGGAACTCAGTAGCAGCAGGCGGGAGACTGAGAAGGTGACGAAGCCCAGACTGCTGCGGCTGAGTAGTCGCACCCCCAGAACCTCCGGCTCCAGTAGCAACAGCGCCCCTAGAACCAGTACCTCCAGCTCCACCACCGGGACTGCCCCAACAGACAGCCCACTCCCGAAGCTGCTGCGGCGAGAGCGACTCCTGCCGACTAGCACCACCAACTCCAGTACCTCCAGTAGCACCTCCACTGTCAGCATCGCCAGTACAACCAACTCGCAGAACAACGGCACTAGCACCTACAAAGCCAGCACCTCCAGTACCTCGAGCAGCACCTATGCCTCCAGTACCAGTACCTCCAGCACGGCCAACTCCAGGAACACCAGCACTAGCACCTCCAAGGCCAGCACCCCCAGAACCTCCAGCAGCACCTGTGCCTCCAGTACCAGTATTTCCAGCACTGCCAACACCAGGAACACCAGCACTAGCACCTCCAGGGCCAGCACCTCCAGAATCTGCAGCTCTAGCACATCCAGCTCCACCAACAGGACTGCCCCAATGGACAGCCCACTCGCGAAGCCGCTCTGGCGAGAGAGGCTCCTGGCGACGTGAGCCAGGACTACCCGGAGCAGCACCCACAGCAGCACCACCTCTAGTACCTCCAGTAGCACAAGTAGTCCCAGCACCTCCAGCTTTAGCAGTACGAGCACGGCTAGCTCCACCACCAGGGCTGCCCCACTGTACAGCCCACTCGTGAAGCCACTCCGGCGAGAGAGTCTCCTGCCGACATGCACTAGTGCCTTCAGCACTAGTAACCCCAGTACCACCAGTAGAAGAATCTCCAGCTCCAGCAGTCCCAGCACCTCCAGCCCCAACAGTCTCAGCACCTCCCGCTCGAAGACGGCTGGCTCCTCCACCACGGCTGCCCCACTGGACAGCCCACTCGTGAAGCCGCTCCGG